GTTGGGGGCAATATGCTGACTCTGTAAACCGCTTAGAGAGGGCTGAAAGCCCTATGAAGCGGTATATAAGTCTACTGCTATTGCTATTGCTATGTCACATCTGCTTTGTTGATTGGCCACGGGATTATACCTCTGATGCTGGGTAAATGCATCGTGCAGACCAGTGGTCATTTTGAATCCCAACAGAGGAAGCCAATTTCAGCTTCTCCTCTTGGGGAAGAAAGCCCCTCTTCTCCCCTGCCCATAATAGGGTCAAACTATGGTGTCTCTCTCAGAAGAATCTCAGCCGTAATCGCGAGTGATTGTTTTTGCCAATGCCTGGAGAATAAACGTAATTTGCACGATTTCCTCTTTGCGTGGAGTTTTATCTGCCTGAGAAGAGCGATCCTACGCTCGGGACCCGAACAGAGGTCTTCTAGCCTGACCCCTTTGCTCAAGCAGGAGACCGGAGAGGTGGCCCGTCGAGTCTCTTTCTTAGAAACCTCCAGAGATTTCAGGCACCCACAACTTCTAGCAGTGAGTGGTTCCACTGGGCTAATCGTACTCTTTGTTAACTTCGTATGCCACAGCGGATCATCGCCACTCTCCGAGACTCCAATCAGAACCAAATTGGTGCCGCCAAAGCAGACCTCAGCGCCGCGGAGAAGAGAGTGGAGAAGAAAATGGCGAGTAAGTGGTGCCCACCTGACCTCCTCGCTCGGGAGTGGCGGGGGCTGGGGGGGGGCTGGGCAGAGGAGAGCTCCACAATTTTCACCCCCCCCCCAAGGAAGCAGTAGGGCCTTGTGGCCAGATTGCTTATCAAAGCACCCCCTCTTGATGCATAGGTAGCCCTTGACTTGAAACCATTCACTTAGCGACGGTTCAAAGTGACAGCCGCGTTGAAAAAAGGGAGCCCTGACTGGTCCTTGCAAACATTCATTCATTCATTCGTTCATTCGTTCATTCATTCATTCATGTGGCAGACAGTCACCTGGTCAAACTCCAGGCCCTTGGAAACTGGCAAGGCCTTGTGACAGTGTGCATGTGTCTATGTGTATGTATGTGGTGGGATCTAGCCAGTTCGCACCACTTCGAGAGACCCAGTTGTTACATTTCTCAGCAGTTTGGTGAACTGGTTGTTGGAAGAAATCTTTAGGGCTGAGAACCAGTTGTTAAATTATTTGAATCCCACCGTGTGTGTGTGCATTTGTGCGCGCCGCGTGCATGCATGTGTGTGTGTATGTATGTATATGTGTGCGTGTATTTATGTGTGTGTGTATGTAAAGTGCTATGTCAAAGCACCTGCTATGCTTTGCTATGCTATACCCTCCTCCCTTATCAGCTGAGCCAGGGGAATGATTTAAGTGTTTTTTTTTTCTTTTGTCAAAGCACCTGCTATGCTTTGCTATGCTATACCCTCCTCCCTTATCAGCTGAGCCAGGGGAACGATTTAAGTGTTTTTTTTCCCTTTTGTCAAAGCACCTGGTATGTCCAAATATGGGAGGGAACATGCT